CCCACATACACACACGTACAACACCAAAACTGTCCATTTCCTCCCTTTGTCTTCAAAACCGTGTTCATTGTTCATTCTGCCACTTTCAAAAAGTGTACAATAGTCAAGAATAATCAAATTCTCATTGAATAACATGGGTAGAAACTCAAACGGAGCATCAAAACAACATTGTTAGCGGAAAAACAAACCAATACAGTATGTGATTTTCTTTCCTTTGGCATTTACTTGTCATGAGGGTCAAGTCTATAAATTACGACATGAACAAATTATGTAGGCCTATTGTCCTGTGAATTATAGTGGCTTTCAACATTTTAATCGTCCAATACGCAGATCCTTTGGAATTCCTCTTCTTTGTTAACATTAGAAAGCTGAAGATGGGATAGATTATAAAACCATAAACTCTGAGCTCTCTCAAACTAATGTTGTTTGTTTTGCAGAGTGCAGCCAGCAGAGATATTTGATCCTGCTGAGTTTCCATCTTCATATAAAGACAACTTACCAAAAGAACTGATGGTCTTGCAGTATTCTGACAACTTTAGGCGACAATATGTTCATCTCTATCGTGATCGGAAACCTCTATTGCTCAGTCCTGTGAACGAATGTGGTGTTGAAGTAAGTTTTTGATTATTTTGGTCAAACAAGCACATTGCTTTTTCACAATGCATAAAAAAAAAAAATACAAATTAAATAATTTCAAGACAGCATTTTGTTTGGTTGCATAAGCAGCAATGACATTCTAGACATTCTGCCCTTCATCTATGCTTTAACATAAGTATGTCAATATCTGAGTAAAAATTAATTTTCATACTGTATACACTGCAAAATGAAATGTTTGTCTTTAAATTGAAATCAACTGTGAGATTTGTATTTAACATACCATTCTTTTCTCATATATTCTAAGTTTCCGGCACGTTTCTAAGTTTTTATGTATTTTCGTCAGAAATTTGTGTGTACAACAATCCGGCCAAGCCAGCTACCCTTCAAAGAATTGTACAACTGGGAAGGAGCTGCGGAGTTTGTGTCAGACTATCTCAACTTTGAGACGTTGGATCCATCATATGAACTGGTAATGAAGCTTTCATAACTAGATACACTTTGCCTTGTTCAGGTCATGGTATTTCAACAGGCTATCCCATACAAAAAGTTTAAGAGATCAGTTTCTGTTCTAAAAAAGCAGAACATGTGTAGATTGAAGGCTGTTGTTCTTGTTCATATTTAAAAGAAAGTTACAAATCATGTAGTCATAGAAGATATTATGGTTTATTGTTTTGGTACCATTATTGTGACTTTCATAATATATTTTTTAGTTCTTGTAGAGAACAGCAGATAATCTTTTAAATAATCTAATGAATTCTGCAAAATGAAAACAATGATATGCTCAGATAATGACAAACAATTGCAGCAATAATGATACCTTGTTATAAGATTTACTGTCAATAATGTGATTGCTATGTTTTTCTCTATTATCTAAACAGTCAAGTATGTTAACAAAACTGAAGCGGAATCCTTGCAATGTAGAAACAAAAATTTGTTAATGAATTATATTTTATTTCAGCCTACGAGACTCCTCTCTCCAGCTACAGTGCTGAAAAGACAGAAGGGAAATTGCTTTGAGTACAGCACTTTGCTGTGCTCCCTGCTTATAGCTGCGGGCTATGATGCCTATGTGGTCAGTGGGTACGCCTCCCGGGAAACCTGCTTGGCTGACGAATCAAGGGAAATATGCCCTTTGATGAAGAAGAAAGAGGAGGTATGTTCTATTTCAAATCACAATGTAATATCATCACTCTAAAACAATAAAGTGAATATTGAGGATTATGCTACGACACCAGTGGATTTGCAATTATATTCAATGTGAAGAAGTGTTGTGTAACTTCTTTTCTTTGCCTATGTTAACTTTTTAGCTCTTTTTGTTTTGTGCATGTGTGTGTGCATGCGTGTGTGTGTGTATGCATGTGTGTGTGTGTGTGTGTGTGTGTGTGTGTGTGTGTGTGTGTGTGTGTGTGTGTGTGTGAAAGGGTACAAGAGAATGTGTGTGCATCCATGTGTGTACATACACTACATTCATTGTGTGTGTCTTTCAATTAATACTGTTATTACTCTGTAAAATTTCGCTCTGGAAAAAGAGAATTGTGTTGGGAATGAATGCGTTATGTGTATTGATGTGTCACAGCTTCAGTCTGGTTGAGAGTTGTGTTTTAAAAAAATGTATACATCTGACAGGAGAAAAAAGAAGAAAGGAAAAAGCAAATCAAGAAATACACAGTGAAGCCACCAAAGGATCTTAGAAGCAGATTTGAGCTGAAGATGGAAGCGAGGCGAGTGGCGGAGGAAAAGGCAGAAGAGGATAAGAGACGAGCTGAGGAGGAACAGAAGCAGGCGGTGAGTACATCTCGTGTTTATCATTATGAAACTGAAAAAAATGTTAGCAAAAATTCTCTGTTTAAAAGAGGAGGACAAGACATAATTGATTTTGCTAAAATGGGTGTGCTGTATCACAATAATCTTCTTTTCTAAAGCATACTTTTTTTAAACGGACGGTGTTTATGATAATGTTACCACTATTACACTTGTGTCCATTTTCCTTCTATGTCTTATTTTGCTGCTCACGTATGTCATTATTCAGATAGATGTCTTTGGTTTGGAAACCATTTTTTTGCTAGATTAGAGAATATTGGGTTTTCTCTATCTTTTGTATTTGTGTTTTCAATTCGTCGAATCGTGCAACTAAATATACTAAACCAGGTGCAAACACCTTGTTCTCCTCAGAGTAACAGCTTTTTAAGACAGTCGTTAAGAAGTGAAAACAATTATGTATGGCACATTTTGTAAAGATCATTGAATGCAGTAATATTAAAGTCACAGGCTTTATGCTTCACAGGAGCTGGAGAAACCTCCCCCAGATCCTCTCCATGGCCTGAGAATCCATTCGTGGGTTTTGGTACTTTCTGGCAAACGAGAAGTTCCAGAAAGCTTCTTCATCGAACCTTTCACCGGTTTGTCCCACTCAACGGGCAGTGAAGCATATTTGGGTATTGAGTCTGTGTGGAACCACCTCAACTACTGGGTCTGTATGCAGGATTGCTCGGAAGGAGTCCACGTACGTTACTCAAGGCAGAATTTTGTCAGTTTTCAGATTAGAAAAGAATATTGATGCCCAGAAGATGTCCAAATTATTTGATGCATTTGTCATTTAAACTACCAATTACAGTCAACTGGGAAACACATTTTACTAGGACACGTTTTACTTAATACCTTTGGAAATTTTCTTTTACTTCAGTGGAACTCCGTGTTTTGTTTCATATTTGGTCCTTACTCAAATTTCCCCTGCTTTCTCACTTAGTCTGTCCTAAAATAGGCTGTAGAAAGATTGAATAAAATGAGTAAATCTTTTGGGTTTAACAGAGGAATAATCATGAAAGTTCAGAGTGTACTCCATCAATGACAACAGCAACTTTGCGAAAGTTCTATAAGCTAAAATGTGTCTTTTTATTTAAAGTATTGTTTATAATGCTAAGCAGATACAAGATTTTAACATTTATTTTTAGTTTGCATCTGGATAGTGGACTCTTGGTCTCCATTTCATAACTGGCATCAATTGATTACTTGTACAGAAACTCAGCTATGATCTCGGAGACTGCACCATGTGGGAGTTCATGTTCCCTGGAGTAGACAAAGCACAGCTGCTTATTCCAGAGGCTGAGGAGGATCCATTGGACAACTTGGACGATGATGAGGTGGGGATTTCTGGGACTGAGATGTCTAGGGAGACATGGTTCTGGGATCTTTGGGTTGTATTGATCAACAGCAATGCTTGCCAACTTGGGCAGTATCACTCACTAGTAGGCCATTATTTAATTTTGGTGGGCTGTGGAAATCACCTTGGTAGGGATGGGCATTTTTTAATGTCTCCACTTAAAAATTGATTTTGGTGGGCTGTACCAAAATTTTAGCATATCTGTCTGCCCTGGTCATAATCAGTTGTAAGATGCAATGTGCTATTTGGCATTTCGAGGCTCGAAAGGTTTAAAAGTGACTTTCCATGAATTTTTAAATTTTTTTTTTTGGGGGGGGGGTCTATTGAAAGTTTAATGTCTTCTGCTTCATTTAAGATAAAAATAAACAACTATAGTCGACTATAAATATTTTATTTCGATTTATTTTGGAGGTGTGTGTGTGGTTCGTTGTGAGCTTGGATGACATGATAAAGGAATTTGGACCTCAAACCCTTTCGAACATTTGACCTGCTGGTGTGTAGCTGTGAGATTATTTATAGAATCATCACTTCATGGCCACATTGCTTCAACGTCCTTCATTCGCCCCTTTTTTAGATTTAGACCCCTTTTCGAACATGAATGGTCTGAAATATAAACAACTTAGCATCACTATGACCGGCTTCGGGCTCTGATTAGTTGAACGGGGTCAGAACGGTAGGCCTAACTCCTAGCCCACTTCAAGGTTGTTTACGTAAACACTTGACTGTGTAAGTGTGCCCTGCTAGCTCAGTTATGGGCTATTGATCTTTCAGTTTTACACTTCAATTGGCTTTAAAAGTTCATTTTTATTTTATTTTAGTGGGGGTTTTTTTAGATTAATCTTCCTCTAGATCTCCCAAGGTGGAGTTCTTACCAAGAGGACACCAAAACGGCCTATGTGTATGTGTGTGTGTGCTCATGTGTTTATAGTGCTATTGCAAACGTATTATTAGGAAGCGTAAACACGGCACATAAGCCGACTCACAGACTTCCGGGTGCGTGGTTTCGATGAAATCGAGGTAATTCAAATTGCTTTGTCTTTGCTCTTTCACTTTTACACACCAAATGCTGTACACCTTGAAAAGTTAAGCTTTTTTCGTTACAATAGCGTAATTTGGTTGTTTTTCCGAGTATTTGGAGCTAGAGAATCGCCGTGCAAAGCGAAGCCCCTCACGGTCGGAAAACGAGGTCTGCTAGCTAAAAAATTGACACCCATTCATTCGAACGCTTAGAAGAAAGAGTGATGATTAAATACTGTCTTTTCATTGGCAAACAACTTCTTTAGAGTTTTTAACGGGGCTTCTCGTGGTATATTTTTGGCCTTTGGTGTTTAAATAGAAAGCCTTTAAAAAAGCGTACCAGTTTTCAAGGATCATTTTTAACACGAATTATGTAAAATGCCGATTAAAAAAAGGTACGAATAGAAAGGACAGTTCTTTTTCTATTAGAATAAAGTCATAGGCTTGGAATTATTTTGCATCAATCCTTCCGCGAAACTCCGGGGAGCACTCAGTACACTACAGTTAGAGCCGATTGCTCTCCCTGGGGACCGGTGCGGCGTCGGCCACAACAACGCTCTGTTTTTTTTTCTTGAAATAACAACAGATCGTCGCGTTTGAGGCAATAAAGTACTGATTTGTAATGATCAAACAGTTTTGAAAAAAAATTAGGGTCTATTTCTCTGTTATAGTGATTGTACTCTGTTAGTGTGGAGATACTTGGTGCACTTGGTACTCTTTTATTATCTGTCACACATGGGGTTGCAGTCAGTTAGCGATTACAGGTGTATATTAAATTAAAACAGCTGCCATTTTCTTTAAAATATTGACTGAGAGAAAAAAGTATGGTACCAAAATTCACAGGAGACATAGGCCTTTCATATGAAACAGATAAATTAGACATACAGCTACTTTGACAATTTAGTTTCTGGTACCTAGTAGGGCCTACAAGGCTAACCGGTTGTTGCATTTGACATGAAGATAATTCTCGTTAAAATTTTGTTTTGTCCATAAGCTTTTTTGTCTGAGAATGAATAGTTTTCTACTTCTGTGTGTTATGTTGTAGTGTCCTAGCCAAGATAACTGCCAAATTTCAAGTCTCTGTCTTAATTCTAAGACCCCCTGAACTGGATACATGTTGCTCAACTTCGGAGCCCGTTTTCTCCTTTTCGTGTTTCCGCACCTTGCATACTTAAAAGTTCCATATTTTCATCAAATATTGTCTTATTTACTTCATTTTGTTCCAAATTGTAGTGAAATGGTGATATTTTTAAAAAAGTTATGTAAACCAAATTTTGAAACTTCCTTCATATGACTGATTTTGACCGGGAGGGTCACATATATGAAATTTGGCTGAAGTGGGTGCATCTATAAAAGGGTTATCATTAATATCAAGCCCCGATATATGTGTTAGTTGTCCTGTGGTGATGGTAGGCACAATTATGTCACTTTTGACAATAAAATTTGTGCTGTGTTGGTTCACATTGTCGCTGTTTTGTTATGATGACAGATGGACAATAATAAATGCTGGATGTGGTAAGGAAAGGGAAGGGTCTAATTTATGAACATTAGTAACAACCTATTTTCCCGTGGAAAGATGAAAACTTGTTTTTTTTCTTTTCTGTATGTTATTGATCAAAATCAGTCTTCAAATTTTTCTTACGAGCGTGATGTAAATATTGATTGTTGTTTTCTTTCCACTTCAGGACAAAGAGGAAGAAGAAGATCATTTGGACATGCCCCCATCTTGGGTTGAACCTCTTAGGTTGTCTCAAAAAGGTTATTGCTTTTTTAAAATTGAAATAATACAAGTACATTCATGTTTTTAAAAACCCACTGACTTCATTCTTTTGTAGCTTTTAGCCCCCAAAAATAAATTTAGATATAGTTTCAAGAATAATGTTGATTGAAGTAATTTTCGCTACAATATTGATAGGAATGAGCCACGGACAAGTGCTCTATTGAAGAAAAGTGTCACAAGGTCAAGAGTGTATTTATTTTGGATTACATGTCCTTCATTATTGTTTACCTACCACTTAGCAACACTATGGTCGAAGGCTATAAGCTTAGTATGGGGTGGGGGGGGGGGGGGTGGATGCACATGATGAATAATGAAACATTTTGAAAAATCAATAAAGAAAAAATATAAATAATCTAAAAATAATATAATTTTAACTGTTTGTTTCAATGATATAATGAAAGAATTCACAATATACAATTTTAGGATATATAGATATTCGCAAGTACAGATTAAACATTTCATAATGTAAATCTTCACTGTGAGGTAGTTATGTGCTCCTTCATCTATGGTCCCAACCGTTGTACATCAGCAAATAGTGCTGACAAATTTGGATTTGCTTGGTTAATTTTTTTGTCACTTTTGTTTGAAAAAGAAGAAAAGAGACATTTTAAATGAAAAAGGGGATTTGAAAGATGCTCAAGCTTTCGTTGGTCAGTTTGTTCAAGTATTGTATTTTCTGTCTGTGCTGATCTTTCAGACTTTGAGATGCGCTGCCCTCATGGAAAGAAGACCAAGCTGTACAAGCGTGCCAAGCTAGAGAAGTTTGCTCACTATCTCATGACTGACGGCCTTGTCTCAAGACTGTCTGTGTTTGAGGACAAAGAATGTAGGTGTTCTTAGATGTGGAGCATATGTGTTTCCAATACAGATATACTGGTACACGTGAAAAAATAATAATTGATAGTTGTATTAGGATATTCTGTTGTGTTTTCCATGAAGGTACATTTGTTTGAAAGTAAGAATAAAGATAAGTGATCTTTTTATGAGTTTTCTTGTTCAAAGAAGGCTCGATGGTATGTCCCAAACCTGTAAGTAATTATTAGTTTATTTCATAAGTTCTATAAGGGCTTGTTTATCGATATTCTTGTCATATATTGGGGGGGGGGGGGGTATTGTTTCTACTGCAGTTTATCAAAGATAATATTTTGGTCAGTTATTTTATGTACTCTGAAAAAATAAAAATTTAATTCTGAGGTAACTATTTTGTTATATCATATGGCATATCTGATTCATTTTTCTTTTGTTTCCTGTCTATATCTTATAATTACTTGAAATAATGTTTGAATGTTCCAGTGAATGATCTGAAGATGGTGAAGGAATATTATGAACATCGCTCTGATAAGCTCAGCATGAGGATTCACAACCATAGAACTGGCTGGGTGACAGAACATTTTCTTGCTGGGAGGCCAAAGTGTGTCAAAGGCAGGTTTTCATAGTAGAATATGACAGATTCACAGGGAATTTAATAGCAATTTTATTTGTGTTTTGGCTTTTTACTCTTTTTTTAGCAAAAGAAAATCTGTAACTTTTTGATGGAATGTGTAATTGAGTGTGCTTGGTTTTTAGTTTGATTTCGATAAATAAAAGTCCATGTGTCTGCCTGCAACGAATCAACGCAGAGCCTCCGCAACAAAATCAGTGGCCAAGCGGACTGGCAAGTCGAACTGGAGAAAGCATGCCCAGAATCTCATAGCTGAAACTGAACTGGATACGTACGCACGTGAGGAGCTGGTTGTTTTACCCCCCCCACACACACAACTGTGAAAGGCTGCATCATGCAACGTGACCTTTAGCACCTATCTTGTTGTCGACTGCAAGCGTGCTAATGAACCAGCCATCAGGAAAGCAGCAGCAGAGGCTACCATTTGATCGCTCCCCCTTCGTGATGTAGAAGTCTGAACTGATGGTTCAGCTAAACACGGCACCGAGTATGGAGGCAGCGGAATACTGATCAGCAGATCAAGACCGGTGATACCGAACTTGACCACCATGTACCCGCGGGCCAGTATTGTTCCAGCTACAGGGTTGAGCTTGTAGCTCTCGACACAGTGCTGGGCATGCTTGTTTCACTACCTACAGCAGGCAGCCTTCCGAACAGGGTGCGCTTTCATGTATACACTGATTCCAGGTCAGCAGTCATGCACCTCTCATATGGCCCCGTCAACCAATCTGAAAAGGTGGTGTGCTCAATTTGGCAGCGTCTGCACACCCTCTGTCAATGCTCCAAATGTTCTATCCACTTACAGTGGTTTCCAGGCCACACAGGACTGGCTGGTAATGAGGAAGTTGACAGCATCGCTAAAGAAGCAGCAGCGCTTACCCAGATTGACACGCCAATCGATTTCTCATGGCTAAAGCCGTCATCCATCGGTCGACCCGCGCAAAGTGCAAAAGAGAGGCAAAACCCAAACTGGTTTGCCCAGCCGCCATCATACCAGCTTGAGGCCTCGCTCAGACGACAGGACCGCCGGCTTCTCTCCCAAATGAGAACTGGTGGAAAATCGCCCAAGCTGAGATCATGTCTCCACAAAATTGTGCCAGCAGACAACCCAGGTCCGTCCTGTCGAGCCTGCAAGGAGGAGGACGAGACTATGGACCATGTGTTCCAACTATCGTGCCAGAATTCGTCTGCTGGGACATTTCAGTAACCCACTTTCAGCACTTTTCAAGGACCCTCGAGCGACTGTTGAGTTATTGCGTGCTGTCGGCATCGCTGACCTTTTATGACGCCACAGCACCAGAAGAAAGAGAGAGATAATAAATCTTTAACCCTCCAAACAGAGGAAGAGATCACAATTAACATGGCTCATCATGTTTTTGCGCTGTGTTTCTTTTTTCTGATTGACTCATTAATACCTTTGATGATTATTATAAGAATGAATACAAATGCCTATTCAAAAAAAAAATCTCGTAGTAGCTCTGGCTACAAAGACTAGATGCATAATCATGGCTTGAAGTAAAAAGTATGTCAGTCTATGAAATAAATAACATGCTTCTAGTGACATTGCAACAGGTGTTCAAAGTCTGATAACTTTCTCCCTTTCAACAGAACACTGCTACAAAGCCAGTGCTCCTGGGGCAGAAAATGACCGCACCATGATCTTCTACGGTGAAGCACGGGTGGATGGATTGGTCAAGCGTGTAGAGACACCTGTATCCATGACTGAGCAGTACCAAAACAGAGATGACTTCCAGTACTACAAACACATTGATTTTGGAAAGCGAGTGAAAAAATTTGGACCACAAGATGAAGTTGTGGCCAATAACCCTCGACCAATTGTGGTATGTATTCTTTATTATTTACGTAATTTGTCTTTTTTTTTTTCTTTTAGACTTGAAAGCATAGTTTTTTAAAATCTATGATGTTGGAATTTGAAATAAAGAGAAAGGGGAAAATATTTTAGGGGAGAAGAGAAAACTAAAATTGAATGACTTACATTTTTTCAAGAGCATGGAAATACAATTGCAGTTCATTCACTGTGTTTTATTACTGTGCATTTTGCTGAATGTGATAATACTTTTTTGTTCTGGTACTCAAGACTTCCTCGATTTGATCAAAATGTTTTAAACTTAAAATCTAAGCATTTTGTATCTTTTCAGAAAATGATTCAAAGATTTGAGCGCAATCAGGCTAAGCCAGCAAATGCTGACATCAAGGAGCTGATCTTCCTGGTATCAGAAGACAAAATTCAAATCACATACCATACAGAAAGTATTCATATTGCTTCATCAAGCAGAGAATACATCAAGCCTCCAAACTGGGATGAAAAAGGAGCAACTCTTTCGTGGTCACCAGATATGCACGGGACTTTCCAGGTACATATGTTGCCTTTGTCACAAGAAAAGTGATGAAATAATAGTAATAATAATAATAATAATTGCATTTATATAGCACGTATCCATGCTCCACTGTTATTACCCCAGCAGACCCTAGAACACAACTCAGAAACATTCTCGGCCTCCTGGGAAGCATTCAATGCAGGCTCCGGATTTTATGCGCTTGGACACAAACAAACTGACAAGATCTTCGCTGTCCATAGCGGGGTACCCATTCCCACTTGGGTGAAGTGAGGAAAATTCTTGTAAAATGACTTTGTAAAATGACTTTCCCAAGAACACAATGTTGAGGCTCCTGACGGGATTCAGACCCACAACCTTGCAGTTGCGAGTCCAAGAGCTTAACCACTAGGTCACCGACACCACAAAATGATGTACTGGGACAGTCGAACCTGCCTCACTGATCACCTCTCCGCAGTGGCCACTGTGCTAACAGCCACTGTTTCATGACACCCTCACCTTTTTCCTGTATTTTCAACATGTCCATAGTGGTCCCTGCTGCCCAACACGGCCACTGTCAGCCATTTGTCCATAACAAGTCGGACTCAAAACCTTCTAATAGTAGTTACTTTGCTACAAAAACAAATGCTTAATCCTTGTTCATCTCTTCTCAACTTTTTTGCTTTGTGTTTAAGTCATTGGATTTTTTAAAGATGTGAACCTTTTTATGAATATACAGAATAGCGTGAGTCATTGTGCGTGTGTGTGTGTTTGCGTGTGTGTGTGTTTGTGTATGTGTGTGTGTGGGTGTGTGTGTGCATGTGGGTGTGAATGTACCTGTTTGTGTATGTGCATGTGCATGTGTCTGTATGTGTTTGTGTATGTTTGTAGGTGTATGAGTGACTTTCTGTAGGAGTGGGGGGGCAGGGTATATTTTATAAATGATACAGCTTTCTTTTCATTCTCATAGATACCGATATCTGTAATTTATGATCTTGTATTTCCTATACTTTCTTCGATTCAGGTGGATCCTTCAGCTGAGCCCAGCAAACAGGTTGAGCTGTACCAGAACTTACTGCTTTTACTCAAAATGGAGGAGACGTGCCGCGAGGGCGTGAGGGAATCGGAAGAAGAGGTAAGTGAAATTCATTGTAAGTTTAACTTTAGTGTGTCATAACTGATGTCATTTCTTTTGATTTGTACTACTTTTTAAAAAAATTCTTGACAATGAAGTATATTTATTTAACTTTTTTCCAGGCTATGTGACGAGGTCTAACATGCTCTTTGTTTACTTCAACTCTTTTCTCCTCCGCTATATATTTTATTTTAGGAAAATAAATACTTTGCACCTTACTCTGAGATCCCTGTCTGAGTCCTCCCCTCCTTTCTCTTTCCTATGAAAGATTATACTGCTAGTAAGAAGGCAATCCTATTGAAGAAAGTATTTTACCTTCGTTTGGTGGTTTGTTTTTTAACCAGGTGAAAAAGATCATAGACGATCGTCAAGCTGAGGAACTGAAGTCAGAGCTGGATATCTCTGTGTACGATACCGAGAGAAATGAAAAGGCAAAGAAACACAGACGAGAGCTGGTGAGACAATCATCATTTTTTGTTAACAGTAGTGTTTATTGTAAGTTAATGCTGAGTATGAAATATTTTTAAATCTAACGTGATGGTTCAATGGATACAGATAATGTTTTAAATTAGTTTTTAAAATGATGATGTAGAGTTAAAACAGTATTTACAAGACTGCTGATATGTCTATAGATAAAGTGTTACCACCTGACAATATGAAGGTGTTTCCTTAAGTACTGTGTATGTTTTGATGGGAAACAAGTAAGGGATTACATGTGGGACAGGATAAAAGGAAACCACAGGCTTACTGTAAGACTGATTGTCGAATATTGACCAAGACTCCTTTCCTGAGTAGAAGTGGGGATATAGGATAATGAAGTTGAGTATGTTGTTGTTGTTGTTGTTAGCGATCCAGTAGCGTCTGAACTTTAACACTTCTGCATGATGCCTTTCTGTAATAGCTGAATGTCTGTTCTAATTGTTGTCTTGAGGAGTAGAGGCATTTAGATATGTGGGGTAGCTTGGGAAGAAAACATCCCCTTAAATCAGTTAGTTTTCTACAGAAAACCAGATGATGTTCCACTGTCTCTGAGGGGTAGTCACATAGTGGGCAGGCAGCAGACTGCTTTACTCCAATGCAGTTGAGGTGTTGGTTGAGGGGTACATATTATGTTCTAAGTTGGAAGATTATAGATTGATCTCCCCTCCTCAACTCATTGATTGGATCTTTGACCAGTGGTTTATTCATGTGGCCATACATCATCCTTCCTGTCGTACCTGTGGCCCAATCATTCATCAAGTCTTCTTTGAGGTTTGACTTGATCTTTTGGCAGCAAATGGATATTTGAACAGTAGATGAAGCTGAGTATGTGGTACATAAGTTGAGTTATTGAATACGAGTGTTGTGTGTGATCAAAATGGCACGGAGTAATCAGACTGTAGATCATTAATATTATACATTCGTTTTTCTTGCAAATGTCTTCTTTAGACTTATAAAAGCTTAATTTCAGAGCTAATTTTGGTTAGTGACTAGGATATTCTAAATCACATGTGTTTTGGCCTTGCTGTTTATAAATATTAAGTATGCTTAACTTACTGTTCTTTTTTTGTTCTTTTTTTTTTTACAGGAGCGCCAACAACTTGAAGAAAAGATGAGGAAGCAAGAAATGGAAATTGACTACCTTGCTCCATTCTTGGCCCAGATGGGAGATCCAGAGAAGATTGCTCGCAACGAGGCCTTCAAACTGAAGGAAGACTGTCTAGCTGACCTCAAGCACCGACTTATTGACAAGGCCAATCTGATACAGTCTCGATTTGAGAAAGTAAGGGTCAGAGAAAACTAGAGAAAGTCTCGATCTACTGATAAATAAATGTACATGTATATGTAGCTTAGCTAGCATGCAGATAGGCACAGGAAAACAGACAGAGACAAGAAATAGGCCTACCTTTCAGGCCTTAAGCAAGAACAACAGGACAAAATATAGTGGGGGTTTTATTGAAGAAAGGAGGTTCAAGAATGATTAGTACCTCTTTTTGTCTGTTCAGGAGAAGAGCCGGATGCTTCAATCCTCTGAGATTTATAGGGTCAGAACTGGATTTATGGACTGTATCATATTCCAGAATGTGACTTAAAATGTCACAAAAGTAGAGGTGAGGGTCATCCAAAAAAATGGTGGACATGAAGAGATTGCATCATAGAGATTGAGAAAATGGTAGAAGTGAGGTGTTCATTAAGAATTTGCACTGTAAAGGTAGAGTAAATTACTTGTTTTGAATGTACTCCTAATAGAAGAAGAGAGAAAAAATGATACAGTAAAAAGATTCAGTTGTAGAAGCAAGGCCAAGAATCTAACTTAATTTTGGATAGAGAACTAGCCTTTTTTCAAGAATAAGTAAACCAATCAAGAAATAATCAATTAAACTTAAAGGAATAATGAGCTTAAACAGTAAAAATTCTTTATTTTAATCCCTCATATTCAAATGAGCTGTAAATTTCCTACCATTATTTCTTTTCCAGGAAACACAGGAGCTGCAGAAGAAACAAGCGTGGTATCAGCAAAACCAAGTGTCCATGTCCAAAGATGATGAAGAGGAGTATCTCAACTACTGTAGTGAAGCTATGTTCAGAATCCACATTCTGGAGCTGAGACTCAATAGGTTGGTATCACCTGGATGTGCAGTGTTATATTGTCTTTTCTCACACTGTTTGCTTGAACTGAAGTTTACCTTTTCATCTAGTAAGCATTGACAGCTTTACTTTGACAGCCTTTTCTTACTTGAATTTGGAAGCAGTGGCAGTTGGATACTGTTGTTTACTGTGTAGGTTTTGATCACCAGCCTTTTGAGTAGCACTGACATTTGGAATTCATAGACCATCCTCATGAAAAGGTGAATCCACATTGCAGAGTTTTGAATGAACAGAAAGTTCATTCCAATTATCATTTGTCTATTGTTTGAATTTATTTCTACTTATTTGAGTAGCAGTTGGAGCACTGCTAGCTAAGTTGACATGCTGCTGGACTGCATTTTGTATGACCCTTGTTCAATTCCTCAATCGTTGTTAGCAAAATTTTTTAAGTGCACCAGGCTCTTGAATTGGTCCTATCAGAGATTGACACTTATTTCAGAGATCCAGTCTCTTAAATGACCTTACAGTGTTAACAAGGATGCTAAATCCTGACCATTCTGACACCTATTAACAGCTTTAAAAGATTGTTTGAAACATCGGAGTAGTCGTGGATGAGTAATGATGTGTGAGATAAGGTGATGGGAGAACACTGCATGTTATGAATTGTTACGTAGAGTTGATGATGTCATCATTTCCAGGTTGCAGTGTCATCTAGATCAGATGAACCTTTTTAGAAAATGGTATTAAGGCCATATTAATGAATGCGATGGATTTTCTTTCTTTTTAAAAATGTTGTACAATTAATAGCATATTTGCTCACACTGTGTAAGAAAATTCGTTTGCAGCTGCAGTATTATTATTTTGTCTATTTCTGTAAGTGACAAGGTTTGTATCATTTAAGTTTGGAGTTCTAACCTGCATTGAACCCTGAATAATTTAAAAGGTTTCAGTTTACACTTATTTTGTAGGCTGCCTGAGGTTCAGCTTTTTTCGGTAATGTTAACTTCTAAAGTCTTCTACAAAGCTTACGTTGTTATAAATTCAATCCGAATGTTCATTGGTGTAAACTTTACCAAAATAAACATTGTTATAAGTTTTGTCAAAACATACATAATGATACCCCCCTCAAAATATACGGTTATTGTTTTTTCTTCCAGACACAAGGAGATGGCCCCTCATAAGTACATGGCGCTAGAGCAAAAACTGAGGACAGACCCACGGCTTGCAGAATACTTTTGAGTTAATCTTCCATAATTGGTTTCAGGTTATTGTCATCCAAACTTACGGTTACAGTTGGCATATCTCTTTTACACTGATAGCAGTCTCTGAGATAATGGTAGGAAGTGTTTGAGAAGGTTAAAAAGTCTCTGTATTGTCATGCCTGACCCATTTTTTCAAAACAGCTTTGTTTCTGAAACTATTCATGAGAAAAAAAAGGAGAGAAAGGAGTTCTGCTTAAAAAACTAATGTAAACTTATCAAACATTTCTGTCATGATGATGCTTTCTGTGTTAGTTAAAATATTTCATAGTGTCAACAAAATAGTCATGTTTATATTGGTGAGTTGTTTTTGTTTTGATTAGTGTATTTTATTTGCTTTTACTGAAAGAAGAAGGCAAATGACTGAAGTTTAAACAGTCTTTAATGATAGTGACTTTATTCAGCTGATTATCAACCTTATAAATTTCTAATTTTATTTTGGAAACACTATCAGGAATAAGTACTCTCTTGCAACATTGTTGAAACTACTCTATTCCAGTACTTTTCGTTTCTTCCTATCTTGGTTGTCCATTGGCCCTGTGTGTTGATGGTATTTGGAGTTGTTTTTGTTTTTTTCTGTGTTTTTTTTTCTAAGACTGGAAGAAATCTGTACATTTTTCAATCTGATGGACACTATATATATGCCTTTTCAAGTTCGAAAAAGTGAAAATATATTGGTAGTGAAGCATATTATGTGATATTTATGTAAATTTTCATATAATTTGAACCTGGGAACAAGTAAAGTCAACAGAATCGTGCCTTTGATTTTCATTCCACATTGTTACAGCATCTATATTCAACCATGGGTTCAAGTTCCTTAGATGTAGAGATGACAAACATACGATTCTCTTATTGTATCATATTCATGGAAACTGTGATAATGCAGTGAGCATTTTTTATCTTGTCTACATAAAATCTAAATTATGTGAATATGCAAAAGTGTGAATGAAAACTATTGTTCCAGAATTGTTGTTACCCTGGGAAATGAATAAATCTCAGAGAACAGCTCTGACCAAGATTTTTAAATTTTTGTGGCAAACAATTTAATGTCACACTCTGGTCTATTTGTGCATGTGTGATTGGAATCATCTTATTCTTGCAAGAGTTTGTGGAATATGGTGCTTGAGCTAAAAAATAACATTTTCAAAATATAAAGGATTTATTGAGTATCTGCTCTTTCTTTTTTTTAAAATGTGTTTTACGGTGCTCACTACTGCATAAGGTCATAATATGAGCGCACGTGACACATAAAACATTTTCAGTTTGTAGGAAATTTTGAATTTTGCCCGGGTGGTGGCTGAAGCCTACTCTTATTGATTTTGGACCACCATGGGATCTTTAATGCGCGGAACTTGCACTCGGGACCTCTGATATTTTTCACCCTTATCCGAGACGGCTAGGTGTTAGATCTTACCGACCATAAGATCAGGGGTGTGGCTGAAAGACAGCATTAGAAAGAGCCTATGAGTAGCTGTAGAAAGGCAGCAAAAAGAGCCAGGAGCCCAGAGGAGGGGGCAAAGGAGGTGAGGGGGTGGGGGCAGAAAGTAGAGATGAAAGCAGATGACAGAACATTGTTAGAGAGCTGGCAAGGAGCTGAAAGGAGAACTTTTAGAGAAAACAAATTCCCGGTGTTTTCCGGATTCAAACCCGGGACCTATTGAATGAGAGACAAACATCGTAACCTCTAGACCACAAGAGCCCCTCAGTATCTTCTCTAGGAATATTATATCTTGGTATGCTTTGACTAGAAGATGTGGATGCTGCTGGTCCTGAGTAATGTAGAAGGTTTTACCTGGTGTGGCTATGTGATTATCATCCCCACTGACTCCCTCAAGTAGTTTTGTCCTGCTAGTCAACATGATTATTTGATGTGGCTATGTGAAAAATGGTTGCCTTAATGCCCCTGTCAACACTATCAAGTTATTTAAGTGACATGACCTCCGAGTTAAACGTCCATCTCTGAAAGGACGGAGCCAAATGGGAAATTTGTGAAAAGTACCTTTCCCAAGGAAATAACATTGGGCCGAGTTGAAGCTCAAACCACTGAACCCACACTCACGAGTATGGGTCCAGTAGCCTAACCACTAGGCTACCGACGCCATGTGTGGCTATGTGAGTATCATGGTCATGACCAACACTAACATCCTCAAGTAGTTGTCACAATCACTGACATCCTCCAACAGTTTATGTCACCATAACTGTTGTTTTTATCGTCACTGACATCATTTTTTTTCATGCCCTTTGCAAAACTGTACGGTTATTTTAGACGGGGGGGGGGGGGGGGGGGGGGGGCAAATATAATGCCCATCTCCAATAGAATGGAACCAAACTGGAAGGAAAATTTTGGGGAAAGGGGGAGAGGGAGTTTTTCCGGGAGAAAAAAAAAGAGTTTTTAAAAAATGGATTTTTTTTTTTTGATTTATATTAATTGGTTACAGGCGATTTGATACTTGGAACCAGGAAATCATATTTTTCCCTCCCCCCCCCCCTCCGCCTCGTTTTTCCCTCTCACCCTCTATGTCTATGTCTATCTCTATTTGTCTTTCTCTCTCTCTATCTCTATCTCTCTCTCTCTCACTCTCACTCTCTCTCTCACTCTCTCTCTCTCTCTCACTCACACACATACTCTCTCTCTCTCTCTCTCTCACACACACACACACACACACATACTCTCTCCCTCTCTCTCTCTCTCTCTCTCTCTCTCTCTCTCTCTCTCTCTCTCTCTCTCTCTCTCTCACACACACACACACACACACAGATACATCTTGCCACTGACAGTACTGACACTGACCCCTTTGGTCAACCAGATGTAAATTAAATGCCCGTGATCTAGTAGCTTTTCACTCCAACAACAGAAATACCGTGATGGAAAAGTCACATGATACTGGATACATTTTTCCTGAGCGGAGTGAAAAACACAGTCCAGAGTGTACTTGAGTTCGAACTTCATCCTTCAGCTTGTAAGTCGAGTCATTTACCTGCCTAGCGACGGTGTCCATATACGAGTCCTGGGATTGATATTCACATTCATTTCGTGGACAGTGTGGAATGGCTGCCCCTTTCAAACAAGAGAGAACTTGATACAGTACCTGTATTACCTGTCCTGGGCAACAATGGCATTGCTCACCGGACAGGTCCATAAGTGCTCAGCCCCCCCCCCCCCCCCCCAGCTCCAAAACCCGCAAGGTATCAATACTGATTGTTCCGGTGGCTGTCTGATTATGGCGACGTCTGTCATTTTCAGAGAATCGTTTCTTTCTTCCGTCTCCCCTCTCTATCCCAATTTCCCACATCCTAATGATTGCGTGGTGTTCTGCTGTCTCCCTGTCTTCTTCATCCCGCAACTTTTTCTCCAGGGTCTTCAACACTTCCCCTTTGTCAAATTTCACCTCACCATCAACCACGGCACTGCCTGCCAGCCTGTCAGCCTCCTCATTGCCTTTCACTCCAGAGTGCCCAGGACAGAATATCCATGTGATGGCTCTAAGTGATGAGTGTTGTATTGGGTTCATCCATTCACTCCGAAGCAGCCCTTTCTAAACCCATAGCAAGATGCTATGGGAGTCTGTGACAAAGATGAGATGGGTAGTCCTTGGTCCTATATTTTGGAGCCAGTCAAGCGCTCTTGTTACAGCCTCAATCTCCGTTTTCATGCTTGAAGTTGTTCTTTCTATGGCCCCTGACATGCTATGCACCTGTTTGTTCCCACTATACACCACAAAACTCCACCCACTTGTCTCACCCCTCCTGACCGATCCATCCGTATAGATCACTGGGTCCTCTTGCTTGGAATGCTCCTCAATTAACTGTCGTATGTCATTGTCGTTAATGACAGCAGCACATTCCCGTCTTTCATGACCCATAAGGATGTGAACGTTGGCTAGGCTTCTGCAATTGGGGTTCAGTTCAAACCATTCCTTTCCACAGCATATTTCATCGATGCCGCAAACTTTCCTCAAGGAGTCTTCGGCTTCTGCCATCCATGAGTTGCCCCGTTTGATCCTGTTTCCTTTGATACCGCTTAGGTTGTCCTGCAAAGGGTGCCTCGGGTCTCCCAAAACATTCAAGTACAGCTTTGCCTGTGCCACTTTATGCCTCGCTCTAATGCTGGCAAGATCAAGGATGTATCTCATACAGACAATATGGGTGTCCTTTGTGCAACCTAGAACGGCCCTCATAATTGCATTCTATACTCTCTCTAACCTGTCAATCTGAGTCTTGGACAGGGAGAAGATGCCCAGACCATAGTCTATGACTGACAGAACCCCCAGCTGCATTAGGAGAAAAAGAACTCTCTGTTGAATTCCCGCTGAAGCCAAGGTCTTGACTAAATTGATTCCCTTCTGAACCCTGACAGCAACTTTGTCAATATGTCTTCAGAAAGAAAGTGTCCTGTCCAGAGTTATTCCCAGGTACTTCAACTCATGCTGTCTCTCTGTGAGAAAGTGGTCAAACACAATTGGAGGGGTAGGATCTTTCACAGTGCGGTTGTTGAGTGAGCACCAGATGACCTGTCCTTTGTCTGGATTGATGACCGCATTGTATTCCTCACACCAATCTGCGACCTTGCTCATCCTGTCCTGTAGCATCCGTCCTACTGCTATCCTATCACGACCTTGTCCGTAGACCATCACATCATCAGCTGTGTCTCCTAGAGAAAGGTCCGAGTTGTCGGGAAATTTTGGTCATTCATTAAGATGAGAACATATTCTTGTAGCAAAGTTAATGCTGAACAAGTTGATTTTAAAACATTTTCAAATATCTTGAATGCTTTAAAAGATATGTCTCATTTTGTAACCCAGGATGTAATAACAAAGTTTGGAGAAAATCCCGATTTCTAGTGCATTTTAAACCTTTGGTGAGGTAAGCAGCATGTTGCAAAAATAACTAATAACATATTTAGACTTTTAATATTATAAAATCCGTTCAATATGTTATTAAGAAATGGTTAAATGTGTTTTAAACTTGTGGTGAGGTAAGCAGCATGTTGCAAAAATAACTAATAACATATTTAGACTTTTAATATTACATGTATAATATCCGTTCAATATGTTATTAAGAAACGGTTAAATGTGTTTTTTTCTTCTGTTGGAACTAAATTACATGCATTGTCGGACGAACTCATTATTATTTATTTCTTCTTCTTCTTCTTCTTCTTCTTCTTCTTCTTCTTCTTCTTCTTCTTATTCTTATTATTATTATTATTATTATTATTATTTTGTTATTTTTATTATTTTTATCATTATCGAATAAAAGCGTATAAGTACGAGGGGCATACCAAAAATGTTTTACCTGACAATGAAGGGATGAAGGTAGAAAGCTGAAACTAACCTTAATCTTTCTCTATGTAGTCGCCTCCCAAAGTTATACATTTTTGTCACCGGTGTATGACCTTGAAAAGACCTTAAGAATAGAAGACCCTCTCTTTGTTAAAAAACCAGCCTTCTACCTCTTCTTTGACCTCATCATCACTTTTTAAATGCCTTCCTTTTAAATCTTTTTTCAGTTCGGAGAATAAAAATAGAGTCGGATGCGGCTAAATCTGGAGAACGGGTGGATGTGACCAAATTTCATAACCACTTTCTCGGACAGTTTCTGCAGCTTTTCTTGAAGTGTTAGCTAGCGCGTTGTCGTGAAGCAGCAAATCTGTCTCCCCCGCTCAATGTCAGTCGTAAGACGCAGTGTGCTATTATCAGCTACGAGGCTCGAAAGACATAAAAGTGACTTTCCATGAAATTTTCGCTTTTTGGATCTGTTGAAAGTTTGATGTCTTCATTTAAGATAAAATTAACAACTATAATCGCTATAAATATTTTACTTTTATTTATTTTGGAGGTGTGTGTGGTTTGTCGAGTGTGTGGTTTGTCGTGAGCTTGGATGACGAGATAAAGGAATTTGGACCTTGCTAGTGTATAGCTGTGAGATTATTTTTAGAACCATTACCTCATGACCACATTTGCTTGAACCAAAGATTCTCCACTAGTTGAGTATCTTTGCTTCAACGTTCTTCATTCGAAACTAATTTTAGATTCTGACTCCTTTTCGAGCATGAATAATCAGAAATGTAGACATCTCTGAGAGGTAAAACAGAGTAAAAACGGTAACTTCTAGCTCACTTCAAGCTGGACTGTGTGGGCGTGCCCTGCTAGCTGTTATCATCTGTTGATCTTTCAGTTTTACACTTGGATTGACTCTAAAAATTCGTTTTCATTGTGTTTTAGTGCTTTTAAAAGATTAATTAACCTTCCTCTAGATCTCTCAAAGCGGATTCCTTACCAAGAGGCCACCTAGGGGGTCTATGTGCATATGTGAGTGTGTGTGTAGGTATGTTTGTGTGTGTGTGTGTGTGTGTGTGTGTGTGTTTGTATGTGTGTGTGTGTGTGTGTGTGTGTGTGTGTGTGTGTGTGTGTGTGTGTGTTAGTGTGCTCTCGTGTATTTAAGGTGCTATTGCTAACATATAATTAGGCTGCGTAAAAAGGGCACGTACCATAAGCCGGCTCCCGGCCTTCCGAGCGCGTGGTTTCAGTAAAATGGGGGTAATTTAGATATCTGTTTCTTTGCTCTTTTGCTATAAAACACCAAATGCTGAACACTTTGAAAAAAAATCAGAATTTCTTCATTACAATAGTGTAAGTTGTTTGTATATCCGATTATTTGGAGCTAGAGAATTGCCGTGGAAAAGGAAGCCCCTCGCGGTCGGAATGCGAGGTTGGCCGGCTCAAAACTGAGACCCATGCATTCGAGTTCTTTGCAGAAAGATTGATGATGGCGAAGAACTATACAGCTTTGAGCGTGGTTTCTCGTAGTTATTATTTTTGGCCTTTGGCGTTGGGACAGAAAACCTTGGAAAAAAAAGCGTCTAAGTTTTCAAAGATCATTTTTAACACGAAATGTGTAAAATACCGTCTAAAAAAGGTACAAATAGAAAGACCAGTTCTTTTTCTATTAGAATAAAGTTATCGGCTTGGAACTATTTTGCATGAATCCTTCTGCAAAACTCCAGGGAGCACTCAGTATACTACAGTATATAGCCGATCGCTCGCGCGGGGACCAATGCGGCGACGGCCGAGAGAACACTCAGTGGTTTGTTTGTTTTTTTCAAAATTGAAATAACGACAGATCATCGTGTTTGAGACAGTAAAATACTGTTTTGTAATGACCTCAGTCTTGAAAAAAATTAGGCTTCCTTTCTTTGTTACAATTATTGTATTCTGTTAATGTAGAGATGTTTGGTGCACTTGGTACTCTTTTATGATCTGTCAAACACGGGGTTGCAGCTAGTTATCGACTTCAGCAACATTATGTTAAATTGAAACAGCTGCCATTCTCTTAAACATTGACTGAGAGGTAAAAGTATGGTACCAACATTCTCTGGAGACATCCAAGGCCTTTCATATAAAACAGATGAATTTGACATACAGCAACTTTGAAAATGTAGTATCTGGTACCTAGTATAATACTAATGATAATTTTGTTGCTTTTGACGTGAAGTCCATTCTCGTAAACATTTTGGTTCTTTCTCTGCGAATGAATAGTTTTCTACTTCTGTATGTTACCTTGTCTGCTAAATTTCAAGTCTCTATCTCAATTCTAAGACCCCCATTGCTATGGAAACTTGTTGCTCAACTTCGAAGGCCATTTTCTCCTGTTCTTGTCTCCTCACCTCGCGCAATTAAAAGTTCTGTATTTTCGTCAAATACGGTCACATTTACTTCATTCTTGTTTTACATTGTAGGGAAAATGCGATAGTTTTTAAAAAATGTTAACTCGGTTTTGAAATTTCCTTCATATGAATGATATTGACCGGCAGGGACACAAATGCCTTTTTGGATCTTTCTTTTGCGTTTTTCTTTTATAGTCTCTCGTAATTTTTTTTTAGTTGGTTGAAATAATGGTCTGCTGGGATCTTATGTCCATTTTCAAGATGTAGTCTCTCATAATCACTCCGTCTTGGTCCCCCAAAATACCTGATAGCATCACTTTTCCACTTGAAGGCTGCACCTTTGCCATCTTTAGTGTTGAAGACCAGGGCGATTTCTACTGCATTGATGCAGATTTTGACTGAGGATCATAGTAGTGGACCCGTATCTCATCCTTGGTTAGAAGTCTTTAAAAAATTTAGTTTCGTCCTTTTCATACAGAACAAGCAATTCTTGACATCAATCCACACGTTGCACTTTTTGAGGATGAGTCAACAAACTTGGGACCCATCTTGTAGAAACCTTGGTCATATCAAAGAGTCTACATAACAAGAGGGGCCACTTCTCTCTTTGAGCCAATTAAAAAAGTGTCCTCAAAATTCGGTGGCGCCCTCTTCGCAAATGCGCACCCTTTGCGAACAGAGTTATCCTACTTGAGTTTAAAAAATCAAAGTGAAACTAGCAAGTTTTTGAATAAATTTCGGAAGAACACTTTTTTAAAATGGTTACGCTGACAAAAAAACCTCTTCCGGAGGAAAGGGTGATTGTTTTCTTCGTTAATTTGACTTTAGAATGAAAGGCGAGAGGTCATTAAAATAAAATAAAAACCCACCTAAACTCCGCACTGAACGAACCCGAACTGCTGATGAACAGCAGTCGATCTGCGCATGCAAGGAGGTGCTATTCCTATTCTTCTTCTGGAAAAACGAAAGAGAGCTTCAAAACAGACTGCAGCGCCATCTGAAGCAAAGAAGTAGTATCTTTGGTCAGATTCAAATATCCTTATAAGATTCTTTCAACTGATCCCTTGCTATGCCTAGTTTCTTTGCTCAAAAGTTCCACTGTCACCCGCCTATCAGACAACACAAGTTTCTTGATTTTCAACACATTCTCTTATGTTATTGCTGTCACTGGGCGACCATCACGGTGGTCATCTTCAATATCCATAAATCCACATATGAATTTTTTACACCAAAATTTTTTCACATCATAGGATGGGCAATCAGTTCCATATATATGGCATGCATCTCCATAATAAATATCCTGCAGCTGCTTGCCTTGCAAGAATAAAAACTCCATTACTGCCCTGTGCTCAATTTTCTATATTTTTATGTTGAAACTGGAGAACAACATACCCCAATTCACTTGCAGTGTGCTGATTTTAAAACCAGTTATTGGAAATTCCCCAAAATTAATACGCATTCTCCAAAGATAATTGTTGGCTTTCACCCCAAATTTCAGCTTTCTACCTTTATTCCTTCATGGTCAGATAAAAAAAACCCACCTTTGGTATGCCCCTTGTAGTACCAGTATCACTCTCAGTCATGACAAACAGTACACAAAGGGGGTGGGGGTAGGGGGGAGGGATAAAACTACAAACAAACAAAATGTCCACACCTTGGGTTTTGTTTCATGAAAGAGTTTTATTACGTGGTATCTCATCCTTTCCGTGATCATGCGGGTCTAATCAGATATCATTATGGTAACTGTATGAGAGCAACATCCGTGATTACCAGTTACCAGTCCCTGCATCTGTCCCAATAACTGCTAGCATGCTGCCCCTTAGTTGATTTATCAAAGACATCTTTTTTTTCTCTACTCGGCTAATTGAGAATTGAAAAATAAATATTTCCAACCTCATAAGGCTCGTGATTTTTTGTTTCACTACTTTCGAATTTTTAACTCGCAAGGCCTACGTACAAACAGGAGTAGCAGATACCAAAATATGTGTACTTCAATCAAAATAAAATAATCAAAATGTGCTGGCCGCATCGGCCGAGAGAAAAACAACCAATGGACAAAAAAATGCATTAAATGGAGATCAATAACAGAAAAAATATCAAGAGGAAGATCCAAAAAAAGTTGGTAAGATGCCATCAGATAGCAGACGGGTACAACCTAGGAAACGAAAACAACTTAAACGGTAGAACAAAATGGAGTTCGTTGTTGGAGTCGTCGGAAAACACCTAGAAAGAAAGACAGAAAGAAAGAACGAAAGAAAGAAAGAAAGAGGCCTAGATCTAGTCTCAGCAAAACAAGTCCCAAGAGCCTGGACTTGCTTTTCCGCTCCAAAACAACCCCGACTTATTCTTGAAGATGTCCTGACAAACTCCATAAGAACAGGGAGACACTGCGCCCGTATGGGGCCGTACATGTTATGCTGCGGGTAAACAAGAACGAACTCTTTACAGGAGGTTTTAACCTTGACATCCAAATGAATGCTATGAACATAATATTGTAGTTACTTTGAGGCACTATCGATTTAACCGAAGATACCCATAAACGTTCCAAAGGCTTACAACAAAAAGCTACCTCAGAAAATGTCCCTGTTGTCACAGAAAACTAGACTAGTTACTTCTCACAACTCTCTGATGGGGAACTAGACAGAAAAGCAAAACGTAACGACAGACTAGGGGATGACATACTGTAGGTCGAACATGTTCGTCTGTCAGGGAATATGAAAAAACAACAAATATTTATTGAGAATTGCTGTAGACAGAGAGCACGGCTTCCAGATTAGGTTCTATATTACAGTGACACTATACATGAGGACCAACTGTCTAAGATGACCATTCACCGCGACAATGGATGGCCGTGTCGGACAAATTCGACTGCACTTTATCACTTTATGCTTGAATGCTTTATCCCATTTAACCCGGGCTGGGTCTGATACACAGAATCAAAGCAGCGCACCCCGAATTTATCAAAATGTGTTGATGCGGGCGTGAAATGTTCATAATCATTTACATCTATCTGAGCTTTTGGGTCTGACTTCGTAAAAAGTTTGAGTTTCACTAACTCATCAACTCGACTAAAAAGTAAGTTGTTAAGATCAGCCATGCAGTATTGAAAAAGACAAAGAGCAATACATTGGAATCTTTAAGGTACGCCATCACAACTGAGTATACTTGAGAGTCATTCGCCTGTTTGACATGACCAGTTGTTGTCTCTCTTGCCAGTGCCACATCGTCATTTGAAATTAAAGAAATTTTCCTTTGAGTAAAGTCCTGTGTTTGAAAAGATTGGTCACCATCAGAAATTGCCGCCAACTGCTTCTCTCCCCTCCCCCATGCCGGTTGTACACTGGCATTATGGAAGTGTCGTTTGCGACCAGCAGACAGCACAGGGCCATCATAGCATGCGTCATTTCCATCAGAGTCTGGAGTTGACTCCTTTTTCTTCTGGCGATACCGCAGGTGTAAGACAGTGGCAATGACAGTGGTACCGCTGAGAATTAACAAAGAAAACAGGTAACTGATGATAATGGGGAAATTTTCAGAGTTCTGTGGCAGCTGATTGGACACCGTGCTCAAAAACACAGACAAAGACAGCAACATTGTGATCGCAAAAGACGCCCGCTCGCCGCTGTCTTCCGGGAGAATAAACACGATAGAGGAGATAGCCGATATGAACATTATCGGGACCAAAATATTGACCACGAAAAACACTGGCTTGCGCTTTAGAATTATGTCTATCGTCAGGATGGAAAAAGACGCACCGGGGAAAAGAATTGTTGAGGGTGTGACCCGAGTGCTCACCAGGTCCCACTCTCCGTTCCGCTTGAAGTTGCCGGTCATCAATGTCGAGGGATCTGGGTGAAGCTTGACGTTTGTACCGAAGTCTTGCGTCATCATTGACATAGTGCACGTCTGACTGTCGAAAGGATAATACCGGATGTCAAGGTCACAGGAAATGGAAAAGATTGTTCCGGGAAACCACTTTGACCTACCATCAGACGAAATGTAGAGCGGAGTGTAGTCATCCTCGAACAAGTCTCGTTTGGCCACTGAGTTGGACACGAGAATCCGAGGCCTCCAAGTGTCCAGGGGCATGGGGTGAATCGACGATATCCCATTATAGTTGCTAGGGTCCCAGGTTCGAAGCTCATCCACCCACGAGAAGTTGATCCATGCGTTTAAGTCGACCTGCTGTGTGAGTTCGTCGATGTTCAGTATATTGAGAAGGAACATTTGAAAGTAAACGGTGATGGGTTCTGACTGGTTAATCACAGGCCGTATTCTGTTGTCGAACGGTTTGAGTATGTCCGCATAGAGACGAGCAGTATCGTTGTAGTTAGAAGCTAAAATCAAAGACGATGGAGAAATCAGGCCGATGTAAAAAACCAGTCTCAGGGCAACACACATTCTCGTGACGTGGACAGCTGCGATAGATTCCCTCACAAGCCTCTTGATTGCTGTTTAGGAAAAAGCAAAGGGGAAATAGAAGTAAATACATAGTGAATGACAAACTAATCTTTGTTGAACACAGGGTGACTATATCTAGATCTAGCTGTAATTTTTATTATTTTGAGAAAGGTAAAATCTGTGTGACATGTTTGTACAACAGAGACGTACAAGTAAAATTGTAAAATAGTGTCTAACTTCACGGCACACATAATATCGTCACTGTCACAAGCAATCCACTAAAGTCCAAATTTGATAATATTCGATTTATACACCCTCCCAAAGCTCTATCAAAGATGTGCCTTTCAACATCACCAAAATGCAGTTTAATGCAATGGTCAAGGCGTACAGTTTCTTGCTTTTTGTGATTCCTGATATCAACAACACAACAAAAGCTAGTTTTTTAGTATTTGGTGTAAAAAGTACACAAACAGACTTAAGTGGACTGCTCGGGACACCAACGATGTGGAGCATCCTGCCAGTAAACAACAACAACAATAGCAACAACAACAACAACAACAACATCCTACTCAAAGTATCAGCAAGCGTTGTGAGATTCCGTCTCGCCATCTATATCGAGACGGCTGTAGCTCAATTAGTGCCCCAACCTAATCAAACCACGCAGTTGTGTCCATTAACTTAATGCTGGTGATGTCATGACGATCAGTTCTGTGACGTTGGACACAGGGTTGTCTGTTTATCATCATCACTGCCTTTCTCACACTGCACAAGGGTATAGGCCCCGGACAAACACTTTCCACTTTTCTCTATCCTGGGCTAACCTCTTGATGTTATTCCAAGTCTTCCATCTTTTCTGTACTTCAAGTTCTATGATTCCTCTCCAGTTCCACCCTGATCTTTTGCCCTGTGGATTCTGTCTATGCATGGACAGAAAATCGCTTGAACTGGGACTTGTTTTTTCTTTCTTTCTTTTTTTTTTTTGGTAAGAGTTTTACAACATTTGCAAACCCAACACGGTTGTACAAATGCCGGAGATTAGAGGTGTTACACCAGAGCGACAAACATACAAGAGAAAGAGGAGAGATAAGGACGACAGATGTTTGATAGGAAAGAAGAAGCAAACCACATAAGAGCACCCGCCAACCACCCACTAGGACTTAACGATAAACAACGACCAGAAGGAAACAAGAGCCGAGAACATAGAGAATGCTTTACACCAGTGGCGGCTCGTGGTTTATAGAACTGACCGGCGGTCATTCATGTCAACTATTTTTACCTCCCCCACCCCCTTCCTTCACAACACACACACTCACACACACACACACACACACACACACACACACACACACACACACACATACACACACGCGCACACACACACACACTACACACACACACACACACACACGCACGCACACACACATGCTCTCTCGCTCTGTCTCTCTCTCTCTCTCTGTCTCTCTCTCTCTGTCCCTCTCTTTCCTTCTTTTATACCCCTACTTTCGCCATCCCCACCCCCTCCCCCACTCACACACACACACACACACCACAGTAAACATTGTAATATAATGTGAAAGAGCTAAAATATGCGGTAGCGTCAAGAAACAATATTATGAATAATGTAAGATGGAAGTTACTGAGATAAATAGAAACTCACTTGATCGGCACAGAAAAAGAAACACACTACTTGAGTCTAAGCTAGAAAACAAACTGAAAGTGAGAAGCAATAAATCGCTGGTCCTGGCCTCCAGTACATTATTTTACCCGTACTTTCTACACCCCCATACAAAATATCGACGTGCACTGAACCCGTTAAATATATGTAATAAGAACTGTCCTGTATGATGACAAAAAGTCAATTGCTACTGTACCAGTGACGCTGTCCCAAGCAGATCAAGTCTACAATCAGATGCTATACAAAGCTGGACAAAGCACACAAGTTTCCAATCATTATATCATCAAATGTACTTCATCGCACTTCTCAGTTCTCAGAACTGAACACTGAACACTGTGTTGTAACAAAGTGGGGAAGTGTGTCAAATGCTAATTATAGAAATTGGTGTCTAGCTGGGGTGAGGGTTGAAAAGGGGAGGGAAGGGAGGGGGTTTTCGGCCCAGACTCTGACAGCCGAGTGCATATCGCTCTTCGTTAAAATTTTCCTCATATATCTTCACTAGACGATTCCTTCTTTCGCCGGCCAGACTCCTAAGGGCCAGGTAAGTTATTAGTGGGGAGAAAACGATGAGTAAATGCCAAACAGGAACTATAGGTGATTAAAAAGTCAACAAACAAAAAAGAGTAGTGCCATGCTGACAATAAATGTTCTGATAGTAGTTAGAAAAAGGCTGAAGGATAAATACATGTTTTGCTGATAAAATAATACATGTGTCTGTGCTGCTCAAGACAGTCTCATTCTTAATTTTGTAAGCTACAAAGAGGCCAATCTGGCAATTAAGGGATATTTTAATCTTTCTGTGGACTGACGATGGATTTGTCCATGGGACTGACGTCATCGCTAGGCCTTAGCCAAGCCCGCCGTGTATTTGTGTGTACGTAGTACGAAGTTCCGCGACGTGACGGTTTGACGGGAGACGATTTAAAGTTACGAGCTGGCGCGATAACAAACGTGAAGGAATGAGGTTATGTCGCGACAAAACAGCAGTGAATCCCATTTGTCTATTTCAGCGCCTTCAAATCGGCAAGGTGTTTTTGAATGTTGATACATGTTTGTTTGGATTTACTTAAAACTGAATAAAAATCGTCATCAGCAATAAACCTCTAGATCTAGTCAACAGTTCAGTTGACAAAAATCTGACCGGCACCGCCGGTCTTGCCTAGTTAACAAACCGCCCCTGCTTTACACCAGGCATGGGTGAGCGAGTGTCTAAGTCGCGGGTTGGATTAAACGAATACGAATATCTTGCGGGCTATAACAGGAGGCAATTGTGTGAAATCTGTTGAAATACCTGAGCTATTAAAAGTAAGACTAAAATGAACACTATGACATCTACTACTTTACTTTATCCGTGTGAGATGTCCAAACCACCTGATTGTTTGCCTTCGAATGTAGTGTAGGACACGCGTTGTTCCAACCATTTCTCTTATCTTGTTGTTTCTGACCATGCCCCGTCTGGTTTTGTTGACAGCTCTCCTTAGACATCTCATCTCGCAGGTGGTTATCTTACTTTCCAGACTTTTGGTCAGGGTCCAAGTCTGGCACTTGTAAGTCAGGGTGGGGATGAAGATGGAGTTAATGAGCTTGGCTTTTGTCTTAATGGGGATGTTAGGATGTTTGAGGAGTGGGGCAAGCTGGTAGCTGACGCTGTTAGCCTTTTGTACTCTCGTCTCAATTTCACTGTTGAGACGTCCGTCTTCCGAAAAGATGCAACCAAGATACTTGAACTCGCTGACTTGTTTCAGCGGATTTCCGTCGATAGTAATGTTAAGGTTGCCAGGGGTTCTGCTGATTTTCATCGTCTCCGTTTTGCTTTTACTGATCTTCATGTTGAGCTTTTCACATTGTGTATTCAGCCTGTCTGTATGCTCTTGAAGTTGCTTTTCTTTCTCATATGCCAATCTTTGATCGTTCGCAAACAGCATCTCATTCAGGTCTATCGGATTGGGATTTGCTTCTTTTGTAATTTTGTCCATATATATTTTAAATAGTAGCGGTGATAACACGCACCCGTGTCTCACTGGAGGTGACACGTTGAACCAGTCAGTGAGTCTGTTTTGGGTGCTCATACTGTTGGTATAGATGGCTCTGATGTTGTCCAACAGTTGTCCCCCAATGCCGTACTCTTCAAGTGTTTGCCACAGTTTGTTTCTATCTACTCTTTCAAACACTTTTTTCCTGGTCTACAAACACAAGATTCAGTTCTTTGTTGTGTGCAATTGTCCGTACACTCAGTTGTCTAAGAGCGAAGATAGCGTCTGTGCACCTTCTCCCTTTTCTTTAGCCCATCTGCGTCTCACTCAGTAATGGTTCCACTTTGTCCTCGGTAGGTGATTCAGTCTTTCTTGCTGCCTTTCTTCTTCTAGATCGGTATCCCAACTGCACGCTGCCAGTGTTCTTGGACTTTCCTCTCTTTCCATGCTTTTTGGAATATTCTGGTCAGCCAGGTGATTGCTGTTACTCCACATGCCAGGATGGCTTCAGTTGTAATGCCATCAATGCCTGCTGCTTTGTTCCTTGGGCTATTCTTCAGTGCCGGCTGTACCTCTGATCTTAAGATGTTTGGTTCTTCTTCTTCTGTGTATCGTGGTTGAAATTGACTCTGTGTGTTTCCGTGGCTGCTTCGGAACTTAAAGAGTTCCATGAAATACTCCCGCCTTCTGTTTTTGATGCTGTCTTCTTCACTGAGTGGCTTTCCATCTTTGTCATTAACTACTGTTGCTGGGTTGCATAGTTCGTCTCGTAGTCTCAATGCTTCGACACTTTTGTAGAACTGTCGTGGCGAGTGTTTGCACAGTTCACTTAATAATTTGCCATATTCCTTCCATGACTGTTCCTTGGAATTTCTGACTATCCTCTTGTTATGGCATCTTGCAAATATGTATTTCACAAAGTCCTCATCTAGCTTTGATTTTACCCACGCCTTGTACAACTCCTTCTTTTCTTTGATGGCCTACTTTACAGTGTCATTCCACCAAGCTGTCTGCTTTATCTGCCCTCTTCCGGAATTTGTACCGCATGATTTACAGAGTGTCTCTGTCAGCGTGGTCTTGAACAATGACCATGTTTCTTCTGCTGTCATTTCTGAGCTGTCTACTTCTTTCAGCTTCTGTGTGACTTCTGTCTCCATTTCCTGTCGTGCTTCCTCCTTCTGGAGTTTTCTTAAGTTGATCTGTCTGTCTGTTTCTTTCCTCTTCCCTTTTCTTGTTCTTTCACTCCGCTGCTTTGTAAATAAGATAACTGGACGGTGGTCAGAGTCCAGGGCTGCATTTGGGATGGCTCTGGCGTCCGTGACTCTTCCCCTTTCTTCTCTTCGTGTCAAGATTAAATCTATCTGTGATGATACATTCAGATCGTTCCATCTGTACAAAGTTT